TTTTTATTTACTTATTTAAATAAATTTGTGTATACTTCCTACATATAATTTTATTTTGAAAAAAACTTTTTTTAAAGATTTTGAATTTCTCTATTGTAATCTATTTTCTTTTTTTGTCTTATCTTCTTTCTTTTATAGTAGATTACAACAAAAGTAGTATAATTGTATTTCTCGATTATTCTTTTTATTTTTTTATTTTTTTTTTTCCTAGTAAATTTAATGTTAAGTGTGTCTTGTGTACAACTGATTGCTATATTATTCATCTGAACTCATTTCTATTTAATAGAATCAATTATTTATTAACAGAATAGACAGAATTTTAGGTAATAAGTCAAACATTCATCTAAATGGAAGGTCTACAAAGCTATTTTGAATCATTGTTCAACATTCAATATCCTCTCATCTACACATCATCATATATTTCATTGTATCTGCAATTTGATATCGAACATTTAGCAGTCTATACTTGTCTCTTCTTCTATTAGTCAAAGACAAAATATTTAATGCAATTGTATAATTCATATTAAAAAAAGATAATAAGAGATGATATATACAGTTCCTTCGTCTTATTAATGTTGACAATTTTTTTATCGCGTTTGTATCATATTTTCAATCACACGAATATGTAAGTTTACTTGTTACTTGGACTAAACTAATTCCTTGTTTTTTCTTTTTTTTTTTTTTAATAGGATTAATAGTTATATTGTAACAAAAAACATTATGTGTATTTATATATATATATGTATACAGGGTGTCTAAGATTTTTTCACAGTATAGTAGTTGGAAAAATCTCGGTCAATCTGCATCTATGTATAAATGCATTTTTATAATAATTTAAATTCTTCTTTTTTATATTCTAATCTAGCACTTTACATACTTGTTCATACCTTTTGTATTCTACTTAGGAATGGTATGAGTATGTCTTTCAAATTTCTAACTTAGTTTGATCAATAGTTTCTGCAAATCACACTGAATGCTTTCACACAATACTTTATATGCAGTATAATAGTATCTTTTGTAATACAATGTGCATGATTGTTATAACTCTCTCTTTCTTTACTGAAGAAAGGGCTGCCTTAATGCATCGTGTAGCAAATTATTTATGTTTGAGAAACAAGAGCAAATTGAAAGCTTACGAGTGTTTTAAATTTTACATTTAATTTAAAACTAATATATAGCATATATATAATATTTATATATATATATATATGTATTAAATAGATTTAATACAGTATGAAGAAAACAAAATTTATAAAACCATGAGAACAAATTTACACTAGCAAAAATATTACAATGTAATAGAAGGATATATTCATATTTTTTTGAATATATGATAATACACACATACACAAATGTGGATATCGCTCTAAAAAGATTTTAAATTAAATACAGTTAGCCAGTTGTTGCATGCGGCTTGTACGATATTATAAAAATTAGCATGAAAGACAGTTAGGAATATAACCGACGGTTTTAACAACACAGAGGTGAAAGCAGATGCAGTTTCTAATAAGGATGATGCTAAAGAAGACAAAGAAAATGGCAGTCTCTTGTTGGCTACAATAGCAACCACCACAGTGGTAAGTATATTCACTCACATTTTAAAACAGCTCTTGCAATGTTTGTTATGCACTAGAAGTATGATGTGCTCGATAATTTTATATAAATAATATATATCATACATTATGGTACACTGATATATTTAAAATAAGACAAGGAACACGTATAATATTAAAGAAATATTATTATAAAAATAATATAATTTAAGTAGAGAATAATAAAGAGAACAAGAATTTTTTTTAATAATTCTAACGAGGGTAAAAAGTGTATTTGAAGTTAGCGAACAACCTAACTGTTGTTAAGTAATTATATTACCTCTGATTTCTCATATTATTTAGTTATTATTAATCAAAAAGAAGAGACAAGTGAAAAACCTTATTACATATCATCATCTATCATTTCATCCTTCATGTAAATCAACTGTTATCATATTTCAAGCATTTTAACTAACAAATCTAGAAATACTTCTAAAAAAAAAAAGAACCTAATACTCATAAAAATTCCTTATAGGATTATTGTTTTATTTAAAACAATATTGATTCTCTTTAGATAGAAATATAACATTGAATAATAAAAACAGTACACAATGAACACGATACAAATTCTACTCCATAAGAGAATGAATATCTAAAAACTTTTAACTGGTTATTAAATGTTTCCATTATTTTTTTATATTCAAAATTTATAATTACATCTCCAAGAGATGGGTTGGGTTATCTTATGTTTATTTCAAGTTTCGTCACTGTCATGCAATGAGTTTTACAGGATCAAGGAGGTCGTCAAGTATGGATTTGTCCTGGTTGTAAACAGCAAGATGATGGATCACCCATGATTGGTTGTGATGACTGCGATGCATGGTATCATTGGTAAGAGAGTATAATCTTATATATATATATTTATATTTATACGCAACATAAATTTACTATTTATAATAAAAATTCTAGGGTATGTGTGGGACTACAAGTGGAACCAGCTGCGAATGAAAATTGGTATTGTAGATCTTGCATTACCAAAAAACAGGAGCTTTATCATGATAAGAAAAAGAAGAAAAGGAAGAAAAAAGTAAAAACGGCAGCCTAGTACAAGCTAACCGGATCTTCTATGAGGTCCGGTATGACTGTCACAACTAGTACCAAAGTTAAATTGAAAGAGAACAAACTGAAAGGTTTAAAAAGCAAAAAAGTGTCTAAAACAGAAGTAAAAATGCAAATGAAATCTCTTAAAGGTAAGCCCATAACGGCTAAAGGAAAAGGAACTAAAACTTTAATTAAAGCCAAGGCTGTTAAGAAGAAAAATAAAAAAACAAAAGATGGTGCAATTCAATTAAATTAAAAATAATGAAACTGAAATTTTTCGAGGTTAATAGTTAAAAAATGATGTATTTTTATTAGAGATAAATTTAATATTTTCCTTTTAAATTTCATTTTCATAATAACTCTTCGTAAGTATTTTTCTTATAATATAAGACACTTCTCGCACACCAACAGTAGTGTTTGTTTAAAAAAATTAAACTAAATATTTGTATAAATTCCATTAAATTTGCGATTATTATGTAACATATAATATTTTTTATGATTTATCTATCTTCAATGTATTTACATTATAGGATAGAAATCTTTGCAAAGTAATATATACCGTATTGTTACTTCTCATTTATAAAATTGTTTATTAATGTATTTCTAATAAGAAAAGAAGTGTGCGCATATATATAAAATCTGAACATAAAGCTTAGATAACTTATTTTATATTATTAGCTTTTTGTTGTAATCTACACACAAACATATATATATGTTACCATGAAAAACCAAAGTTGGAGAATGTCAAGATTTGCACGGTGAAATGTCAACACATACCAAATACGTCTGTGAAAAACCGGGGTATTTGGGTTTATTCTTATACATTAATATTTCGGACATACACCAAGCGATCATGTGAACATTCTCCAATTTCAGTCTTTCATGATAATATATATATATATATTTAAAAATACATCAAATATTTTGTACAAAGTACGAAGAGTTTTCATGATACCATAATTGTTTAAATAGACACTTACAAGAAGTGGAATTTATTGAATTCTATTTCAGACTGGTTAATTAATATAGGAGTAACATTTGTAACATAAAATTTGAACACGTGTAAAATAAAAGTCCAAGAGTGGATATAGGAAAAATTGTTATATAAATAGAATAAATCAGCAGAGTAAATATGGATTGAAGAAATTATATATATATATATATATATATATATAGGGATTATAATATGTGAAATGTTTCGATATTCTAGTTAATTTTATGATTTATGAGAGGTAATGAAAATAGCAAGTTATAAAATTATTTGATGTGCATAGCGATATTATTTGTATGAACATTTCACATATTTTGAAAGAAAAAAAAAAAAAAAAAAAACAGAATTTATATCATTAATAAAAAGGTATTTAATGAAATGTCCAAATTTAAATATCCAAGTTATTAACACTTCATACAAAAGAAATAGTATATGTTGAGATATTTGTTTGTAATTTTATATGACTGAGAAGATAAATAACACAAAGGTATACACATATACCTTTTTTTATTTACATTACAATAATAGATCTGCAGCTTTTTTCAATTCACATTAATTTATGAAAAAAATAAAACAAAAAAAAAGAAAAATGAATATTACATATATTCAATGTAATGCCATTTCACTCACTCAGTCAACTTTTATAATGCTAACATAAGTCTCTAATGTGAGGAAAAATAATAGAACATTAATAAAAAAAAAAAGAAACAAAAAGAAAACAATTATGCTAATGTGTATATAATACAAATAAATAAGATTTATAAAAATGAGCTCGATGCAAAATGTAATTACCTCTGTAACACTTATTTAACCATTTGACTGTGAACAGCACTTACAACTCCCAATGCAAAATGTCTGTAGCGGACAAATTATTATTGCCACGTTTTGTTTCTAAGTTCTTCATAGTCAAAGAATTAATGCTACTGTTATTCATTTTTTGTTTCCTCTTTTATTTTCTCTACATGTAAGAAATAATACATAACTGTATACTATATGCATTTTTAGTAAAATAATCAATCTGATTATCTATAAGTTTGTGATAATTATTTATCTATATACATGATAAATATTATTATATCTTATTGTTATTAATTAGCGTTAGGAACTCGAAGCTTATTGTCGCAAATATTAAATCCCGCCAATGTTCCCGTTTCTGCACAAAATGTCTCTTCTTGATTCGCGATCTTCCCCATTTTGTTGAGATCTATTCTAATATTGTATTGTATTTCATATATATAAAATTATTGACCTTATATTGAATTGATCGTTATTAAAAAAAAAAAAAGAAAAAAAAAAGGAAAGACCTTTAATGATGTTATTTCTCATTTAAAATTGTATACTTTTCATGATTCGACTTTTAAAAAACATAATAGGTGTTTTTCTGAAAATTTATATTATCATAAGTATGTACATTCTCAGTGTAAAAGCATAAATTTCTCAATATGTTCAAAATATCATTGTACATTTTATGTATTTAAAAAAAATTGTCTAAAAGTACAATTTATGATATACAAACAATTTAAATTGCATTGTAAGACAAGTACACCACATCACATACACACATACATACACACATACGCGCAAGTAATATATAAAAACATCTATTTAATAATATACAACTGAGAGACTTGTAATAGTCGAGTTAAAAATATTTTAAATATACAAACAGTAATATAATTACTATTTGTCTCTAAGAAGAGTGTACACTTTGTTCTTATTGAACATCATTGTTGCATAATGGCACGTATGTATTTTGTACATTATTCATTTTTGAGTGATAGAATAATATATCAAATAAAAATCTAACTGATATGTGTGCTGCCAGTATAAAATAGAGGTATTCCCTTCTTTTTCTTTATTTAATATTTAGAAGTAATTTTTTCAACGACAATCAACTGTACCATACTTATTCACATTTTTCACATGATTAAATAAAAATATTTTTTTTTAATTATATAGAATTTAATCACAATACGATAAGGTATCTAAGTAAATATGATGTTTCGTCGCTTGGAAGAAGTATAATAAATAATTATATAGATTTGTGCATTAATAGTATACAAATTCTTTTTCTCTCTCTATAAATTCAAAAATTCTGTGAGTATGCTACTTTTAAACATATCTCTCAAAAACATGATTTATATATAATTCTTGGATATAACAAAAATAAGAAAAAAAAAAAAAGAAATAAAAATCATATCACGTTAACTATGGGAGCAAAAATATATTAATAACGGAAGGGCATCATCTTAACACATATCTATTTTGCTTTTTGTAGGAGGTGCATTTAATCCACCGATATCACCCGATTCAAGTTGTTTTAAAAGACGGAATAATGCAGCTGCTTCTCTAATACGACTAAATTCAATACAAAATGCTTGCACCTCGATGAATAACTCTTGAACATTAATGATTTTATTCCTAATTAAAGATTGAAGAAATACACAAACTAAACGTACTAGGCGATTTTGCATGTAACGATCCTTTATAGTCTCGCAGGTGGATATACAATTGCTAATATATAAATGAACAAATTCGGTTGGCAAATCCACGGTGGTTGTCAACCTATTTACAACTTCCATAGAATGAAGGGACATTTCCATGTTTACCAAGACGCTAAAATATTCCGTTATTTGGCTAGATTGCATAAGTTTTAATAAAACTTCGATAGCAATTAATGGATTATTTTCAACTAAATCTGGCAACTTTCCAGGCGTAAGACCTATATGATAAACCAATTTAGGATCCCTATCTAATTCATTAACTAAATGTTGTTGTTGTTGAAGCGTTAAGACGCTTTTAAAAGCTTTGCCCATTAATCTACGTGCCTCTGCTCCAGCACAATAAGAAACGCACATACTGTTATCGTATTCGATAGTAAATTCAGAAGGATCGGTCATATTATACCATGTTAATTCATTAATAGAATGAAATATAGGTGGGGCCAACCTTAAAAATTCAGGACTATAACTTTGAGCGCATAACGGTGGGTCTCCGACAATAAGATTTTCTGCTACATTTCTCAACACCTTTTTATCAGATCCAGTTATCTTAGAATGATCCATATCTGGCAATATTATTGGATTGCCACATTTGCTTATAGAAGGAAGTTCAGAATGATATTCAGCAAGTTGCAACTGTAAGTTGGTTAAATCTATAGAAGGTGTTGATGCAAAATAGAGATCGTCAACAACTAATTGACGTGGTGTTTTCTTCATCACTTCTTTCTGATTATATCCTAACAAATTGATAAGTAAATTTTTCTCGCATTCAGAAAGTACTGGTATATGTCCTGAGAAGTTATTTAACAAAACACCATTATTACTATCTTCTTGAGATTTCAGCATTTGAACAAAAACAGTAGCGAAGGGTGTAGAAGCTAATGGCTCTCCTTTGTACAGATCAAACAACATTGTTAAGGCCATTATTCGTTGACCATGTTTTGATAACAAATCAACGTGTTGCAGTAAAAGAAGTAATGTCATTCCAACTTTAAAGCGATCTTCCTTGGAGAATATTTGATGAAGCTGATTGCAAAGATTTTCCAGGTTAGTGTCAATATTATCTTCATCAAGAATATCTAATAGTTTGGTTAGGTCCTTTGGTGCCAGTGCCATCGTGAACTTTTTTATACGATAAATTACAATAATAATAATAATAATAATAATAATGATTAATATTCTTCAATAATATACATTTGACCAGTAATTTTCTCCAAAATCTTGAATATACATCGAATTATTTATATATTCATATTTACGTATCAGTTATAAAAATAAATTTCTAAATCTCCATTTTTAAAACACACTTTTTCAATTCAAAGTTACAACCATATACAACTATATACAAGATGGACGATCGTAGTATTATAAATGTGTCCACGTATATACAGTATGAAAGAATGATTTCTATTGCCACTAGAGAGCGCGTCGATTCGATGAATGAAATTTTTCAAATATATATAGTTGTACTATACACACCCACACACAAAACAACACACACACGTTTTCAACGAGACAAATTCGACGAGAACGCATTATCAACATATTGTAAATATAGTATATTTCGTGTTTTTAGACCCGAACAATGATATTTTACTTGCAATGTAATGTTTATCATATTTTATATGGTATACATTCCATTGCAAGTGAAATCCAGCGTACAGACTGCTTACCATAAATATTATAATGGTAATTAGTGTTTCTTTTATTTTCCTAATTAATATCACATTCTCATTCCTTTCATTGTTTTTCCCTAAATATTCCCTTCATATTATATTTCACATTATAATACTCGATTTACTTTTTTGAAAACTGTAAAGATAAACATTCTTTCGATTAGTCACGATAAAGTAGTCACGTTCGTGATAAAAAAAAAAACTTGCTTATAGTTTTTTATTATGCAGTAAGTTAACTGTGTAGTATTTAAAAAAAATCGGCTTCTTTTCAAATAGGCTTGCCGCTTCACAATGTAATATTTTTATACGATTATATTTAAAATTAATATATCGATTTATCTAATATATTAATATTTGAATAATAATTCACAATAATTATTCGATATGTCTGGTAGATCCCCGATTTCTCTTTTATTTTTTTGAAATAAAATAGTATACTATATACTGTATATTATAATGTGAAAATAAGTAATAAGAGAAGGAAAGAATATAGAAAAAAAGAAAGAAAGATGTTTTCAACGGCGTGTAATATAGGCGTCTCTAAATCGCACAATGACCAAGTGGTCATAATTACAAGAGCAACGTAATCTCTTTAACAACTTCTCGCGTGCATTCTTCGATGTATTCATGTATTTATTTGTGCGTGTACGTGTGCGTGGACGCATGTGAGGGTGCCGGGTGAATTAAGAACGAATGAGAAGGGATCTCATCTACTCATCTTAAAAGGAAGATCCAGTTTGTATTGAAAAGTCTCAGAGATCGCACGCGAGATAACATCGATTATTATACAAGTGCAATTTGGTTATTTTTTTATTATTATTATTATTATTATTGTTCATTCGTTTTCGATATATCGATCGAGAATGATATCAGTTTCTTGGATTATTTGGTTTCTTGCTATAGGTGAGTTTAAAAAATAAAATTATTTGTTTTTTAATAAAATAAGGGTGCGTTGTTATGTATATATATAAAAATGATTGTTCATTATTAATGGTATTTTATTATTAGGAGTTAATGCGGCAATGAATCAAGGTCTTGCGAACCACCCGACGGTTGTGAAGGTCTTCAGAAACCACACGGTTTTGCTACCCTGTTATGTGCAAGATCTTGGTAAGTAATAAGCGTGAAATCGCTCATTATAATTCTAACAAAAGCCCGTATATCCGCGTAGAAAACTTTTCAATTGATTTTATTCGTAAACTTGCAAATAATACCAAAAATATACCAAAGAATTGTTCATTTATACTAAACTTACAATTAGAGAAATAATTAAAAAAACAGAAACAAATGATATACTTGTTAGAAAATGAATATTTAAATTACCATATACGTTAATATTATTTTTTAATAAATATTAGAAAATAATTGCTAATTCAATAGGATTAATTATAAAAATAAACGTAAAAATATTGAAGGGGTGCCAACCAGAGTAAAATGGTGGGGAAATGGGATTTCTTTGGCTGACAGCGATGATCCCAATCTGGTAACACCCGAAAGAATTCGACTATGGTCTAACAGAAGCTTAGAAATTTCTAACATTCAACCAGGAGATATGGGAGAATACGTGTGCCAGGCGTCTCGACCAACTCCTTGGGGATATGTTACGCGCGTCTACGATATCCAAGTTTTGTGTGAGTAGGAACCATAATATTGTCGTAAATAATTATACCTTCCTCTACCTATCTTTTCAAATAATCTTCTATCATTTTCTTATATCATTCGGTAATAGAAACGCGTGCGAAACGATCGATTTAAATAAAAGTACCTTTTCTTTCTATAGAAAATTTGATTTTACAATAAAAACTACAGCGTTTAGATCCGTAGGATTTTTTTTTAATTTAATTTTATTTAACCAATTAATTATTGTATCACCTCGTAAACCCTTGAGACTACCCCTATTGAGAAATGAATTAAATATATATGAAATATACGCATGGAAATAATTCAATGATTCGGTTTGAGACGTTTTATTGATACTTCCAAGAATGATCCCGTATAGGAAGGAAAAATAACAAAAAGATCCATCCCCTAGAGGAATTCTTTTTCTTTTATGTCTAACAATGAGTCGTTATATTAAATAAATGCATGATATTCGTAATCAAATATCAGAGAAGAACAATGAAACAATCCTAACAGAAGTCTTACACCTCGTTTTTTACAATATATTAAACAAAATATTCCTACACATATATGAATACATACATTTTTCGATTTAAACGAGTAAGCAAGTACGATACGAGACTAGATAACATATGTATCTTTGTCACGCCCTAGAAATTTCAGGTGCCTAGCACTGCTTATATTCCCTAACCAGTTCCTTTCGTATATACTTCCAGATCCAGCGAGTATTCGCACAATACCGGAATCCGGTGTACTGGAAGTCAATTTAAAAGAAGAAGTCAACATGGAGTGTGTCCCAAATGGTATCCCCACGCCAGTCGTTTCTTGGTGGGCCAAGGTAATAATAAACAAACAAATAGAAGAAATACCTTTTTTCGGCAACTTTGCAATTATTTACAGGACGGTGAGATACCATTGTTAACCAACAGACCACAATTAAGATTTTACGTGGATCATCGTAATCGTTCAGGACAATACACCTGCATCGCAAACAATGGTATCGGTGATCCAACCTCGGCAACGATCGATCTTCGCGTAAAATGTGAGTCTTCCGAACAAAATTAAAAACAAATAATCAATCAAACGAAAATCCAAATAATTTCAAGACCCAATGAATAAAGTTATAACTACACATTTTGGATCTCTAGAAGAATACAGTTAATCAAATTACAATCATTTGAAAAGCCCCCGAGTCGCGTCATTTGACTTCTTTTCATTGCTTCGCAAATTTACGGAATAAAAAAAAAGGAAAAAGAAAAATTACGGTATGGTAGGTGGGGTAGAGGAAAAAATAAAAGATATTACGAGATATACGGAACGATATTGTGCATGCATTCCTCTATTATCTATTTCCTTTTCTAGTTTTTTTTTTTTTTATCTAATTTTACTAATTTCTATTCCCCCCAGCTCCACCTTTTATATCCCTTTAGTTATTTATCCTTAAGAAGATTCGAGGCTACTTTATAATGAAATATTCTAACTCGTATTCAGATGCAATCGTGTCAAATTGTATTCGACGATTACGAGTGCGTCGTAAAACGATTATAATTAAATTAGCAAATTGCTGAGTGAGCGCGTTTATCCTTCTTAGTATTCCAATCGTATATACAAGCGTACGTACATTTATACATTAAGTACAAACCAATTGCTCTCATGGCGGATAACATTTAATATAGTTATGCAAATATCAATAATTATTTACATGTCCTGATCAAAATAAGATCCCAATTTTATCGACCTAATCTTATTATTTAATCATAAATGTTTCATTCCAATCAAATGATACGTATATTATTATATACGTAACCAATATGGAAAACTATGTATATGCGTATTTGCAGATAAGCCTGAAATTATTGTACAGAAGCCATGGGTTCATGCGTCCCCTGGAATTCGTACCCAATTGGATTGCAATGTTATTGCTTGGCCTGATCCTGAAGTAAGTTGGAAAATCATTTGTCTTCCTAAGGTTTATCCTATCTTTTTTCTTTTTTCTGTCGTTGAAATATCAAAAAGTACATGCGAAATTAATCAGAAGGCTTTTACATTTCTCTTCTTTTTGTTATTTTTTTTTCTCCGAAAAAAATAAAAATAAAAAGGAAAAAGACTTGAAATATTCGCAGCGAAGATATATAATATTCACCGATCGTCTGAAATAAAAATTCTTTAAAAAAATAAACAAAAAAGAATTTTTATACGCAAAGAGAGATACCCGTTATATAACATAAATGACGATAACATATACAATTGAAACAATTTTACAGGTTGAATGGTTCTTTACGAACACAACGGTACCCTATTCAACGAGAATAGTGAAGCATAGTACAGGACATAATCACAGTTTAGTGATAAGAAACGTGATGACGAAAGACTATGGATTTTACTTATGCAGAGCATGGAATTCCTTGGGAATAACTGAGGCAGTCATCCAATTGTCGGGAGCCGCGAATCCTGCTGTTTTCAAAGAAGTTAAAAGTATATCAAAAACTGCATACAATTTTATTTGGGAAGTCGATTGTTATACTCCTATCGTTGAGTATCGATTCTCATTTCGTCGATACAGAGTAAGTATTATTTATATACAGGGTGTGTCTCCGAACAAATTGAAAATATAAATGTAGTTTTATTAGATAATAGGAAGCTTTTATAATTTGCTATAATTGTCTGCAACCAGCCATTATCTATCCAATTGATTTAATTGATATATACTTGATGAATATGTAGAAATACATACGCGAAGATGAAGATTCTCATACGATTACGACATACAAGTGGCACAGATTGTATATACCGAGTGGAAGCAATGCTATTGGTCCTGTACATGCTCGATCCTTTAATCTAACAGGATTGGATGAAGCCACTCATTACGAAGCTTTCGTGGTTTCAAGAAATCGTTATGGTTTGAGTAGGGCATCTAAAATCATCAAATTTGCTACGGAAGGTGCTCGTAAGTTAAAAAGAAATGATCTAATTCTTTAGAAATACAAATCCTAAAATAGAGAATTCTCATCTTCTGGATCTTTCCTTTTTACGTATGTTGTTTTTTTTGCAGCTCCTGATGCTGAAGACTATTACAAAACTACCAAAGAAGTGCCAGAAGAAAAGATCAACACTGGTATATCGATTATTACTAAAATGAAAAAAAATATATTAAACATTATTCGTTTTTTTATCTCTCTCTCTCACACCAAATTGGAAAATAATTGATCTTTCTTTTGTTTCACCGTAGTCATACAAATGGCCTCGATGTCTCAACAATCTAGCGTGGATAACAACAATGGATGCACTTCTATGATGAAGAAAAACATTGCTCTTGTCGTATTTTTCTCTTTGTTTTGTTCTAATATAAGGTTATTATAGGCTGTTCTCTTTCGATGGACAACTACTGAGACTTATCTTCCTGTTATTTTTACAAAAATGAAAAAAGAAACAAAGAAAAAAGTTGACACGAATAGTTCGAAGCGCGGATTAAAAATAGAACCATAACCATCTTCATCCTATATTAGGATAGATGACAATCACTCTTTTATATATAACTAAAAATAAATTAATATTATTTTATATCTACAAATACTTACATAAAAATGTATTATTACTCTATTTCTTTGGAATTAAAAATAAAAGATTTTATTATTTAAATAATAAATCATATTTTTATACAGAAAACTATGTTACGACCACATACTCGTGCGATATTGGTAAATTACCATAGAATAGGTTCCACGAAAGAATACAGAAGTACATAGAAGAATACAGTATTCTTTGATAGTATATGATAGTTACACATTGTAATAGAATTTTAAATAATTATATTTAATTTTTAATATATAAACATGTGTGTGCCTTCAGAAATGCATTTATATATTATATTACGAGTTCTAGTAGAAGAAAATCAAAACAAGTAGATGATAAATCCAAAGATGATCACCTGTAACAAAAAGAAAAATATATTAATTATACAATCAAAAGTGATACAATGGCCTGACATAATATAATCGTCTAATTCGCAGATGCACTTTTCAATTGAATTCTCTATTTAATTTTATAAAATCTCTATTAACCGTTGCAATAAAATTCAATTTAAACGCGTGATTTTACATTTACATAAAATAAATAAAAATGAAGAAATAGGAACAGTAAAAATACTAAGTTACTAAAAAAAATACTACCTATTAATTATTTGTGATATACATTTAAACTACATTTTATAGAAAAGAAAAATTGCAAATTTAATAAAATACGAACGCAATGAAAAATTTTAAAGACGAAACAAGAAATGAGAAATTATTGTAATATTTATCGAACATTATTTAAACTTCAAAATTTAATAATACAAAAATTTTAATATTTCTGACTCTAACTAAAGACATATGCATCTTTTTGACGATTTTGAGGGACACAAATTTGGTGTCCCAAGGAGATGGAATGGTCCATCATCTCCAATTACAACTACAAATTAATGACGAGCAGGAAAGTGTGATATAATAAAATATAAAATATGACTAGAGAGCTACTCTCGAAAAGCTCGAACTTGCTGTCGAACTTTTGAAAATACCTCGATAGTCTATGTAGTTGCCCACTTGATACCACAATTAAGTGGGGGCCTCTTCGGCATTAGCCTCTTCGGCATTTTGCCTCTTCTTTCTTCATGCCCTAAACGCTGCTGTGAGGCTTTTTCTAAGCGCATTTTACAATACAAATCGTACAGTTACATTTACTCGAATGCCTCAACAGATATTTGATCTAATCGATGAACCTATTATTAACACTTTGCATTAAAAAAATAAAATAATATCAAACAAAAGTAGAAACTTTGTCATACATCATATGGTCTTACTTCTTTACTAGACCACTTTTATCTTTTATCTTTACTCTACTTTGTATTTACTATACATATATAACAAATGAAGTATTCAGTAGGAATTACTAAAGAGCAAAGCGTTAATATACTTAATATTAAGTAAGTATCCAACGTATTCAGATACCTTCA